TGCTCACGAAGCGATGCAGCATGTCTGCGGCGACATCCGGTACATCCATGGGCACCATGTGGCCTGCACCAGTGACCACTAAATAGGTCAAATTACCACCCTGTTGGGCAAAACCTGCAGGCTCCTTCCGACCTTGTACTCGCCACGTATACTTCTTAGCCTGCTGATAAGCATCTGAACCATTCCAGTTTAGATTGAGCAGTAATTTCTCCGTTCCATAATGGTTGCACATCATATCCCATTGCCCATTGTAGAAAAGCATCCGCAGACCTCTCTGAAGAAGAGAGTCCACCTTATCAAGTGTGCTCACACCGTCGAACTTCGATAATGCCCGGAATACACCATTGCTGCAGAGGTCGAAGCGGAAGTTTTTGTCCTCATTGCCGTGCACTGCCTTCCGCACTTCCATCTTATTCATGTACTTGACAATGTTCTCTTGTCCAGAAGGGTACGCTCCGACATTGCGTAGATATTGACGTACATCGTAGAAATTCAGACTGTTCCCTCCATTGCCCGGCTTGACACTACCCGTAATGGAGTCCATATTATCCAGGCAGCTTCTCGAATAATACGTTCCAGCATCCAGAGCAGCCAAACACTCAGCGTACGAAGCCTTCAGCGATCTCACCTGACCGAAAGTCAACAGGCCAAGTCCGTGAGCGTAGTCACTATACTCGTACTGAATTCTGGGATGCACCCATCCATTACCAATGCCAACACCGTCCAGATTGATCTTAATCTGGTTATTCGGATCATCGTTCTGCTTGAAAATGTGATCCGAAAACTCAGGAATCCAGCGACCAGCATGCGATTCGCCAAACATGTACACAGCCCTTGAAATCTTCACTCCATCATCTCCATCCGACAAATATTCGGGGTGACGTTGCAGGAATTTTGTCAAAAACTCGTAAAAGTCCTTGGCCACTGTCTCCTCATCCGGTCGATAGTCATTTCCCTTTGTATACGACATGCCTGTGCCCACTGGCTGATCCACAAAGAGCAGGTTGGCGAACTCGTGCCAACTGTGCTCGTTCTTGCCAATGGTCGACTCGTTCATTAACTTGAACGGCGAATTGCCCAGGAACAACCCCTGCATACTGGAGCATCCGGGACCGCCATTTAACCTGAAAAATCATTAAGAAATCAGTAATAAAGTAAAAGTATCACCACGATCTGTCTATGGATCACACTGTACCAGATCACGAGCGGCACCCTGTCCGGGTTTTGAGCTGCCTGGAAGTGCCAATAGAAGATTTTGTTCTTGTCGCTGTCGTGTAGCGCGATGCGCCCAGCGTGTTGTATTACGTTGGCCGCCGGGTCCAGTCCAGGCAAGTTATGGATAAGGTCATCTGACGTCTTCTGCTTTTGCTTCGACTTGGCGGACTCCCTCTTCGTGGTAAGAAAACGCTCTGGTTCTTCGTCCTCCTGCGCTGCGAGCTCCTTGACGCGCTGGCTGGTGGGGTGCAGTCGCTGTGCAGACACCACGCTGCCCGCCAAAGCGGCCACGAGTACGTGCCCCGTCACCATCAAGGATGATGAGACGATTGAGCCTATCGTATCGAGGGCTTTCACTTTGTCTAGTACAGTAGGTACCATTGCTTTCTGAGTTTATCCTATTGCGAATGTTTTTGTCCAATCATCTCAATCGCTCAGTTCGTTGAGACCCTAAAGTGAATTTAGGGCTCCCAAAAGTGAATTTAAAGGTACCTTAGACACCCAAAAGATATCCACTGATAATTTTAATTGTTTGTAAAAACAATTAATTACAAGTGAGTTTCTCAAAAATAAATTGAAATTAAACTATAATTTTAATCTAGAATAGTTCCAGGTTCTTCTTCTTTTTTGTTTTTGAAATAAGCTTGTTTTACTGCACCTGCATTTGCTACTGCGCGGTGGTTGCAGCGGCCGCAGTGGCGCCGTCCTGCTCGCCCGCTTTCCGTCGGACCTCTTTCTTCTTCTTAATGATCTCACGGTAGAGTCGGTCACGGTAGTCGGCAGCAGAATACTTGGTGTTGTCGTCCACAACTATCTGCAAAGGAGCTGGAGCACTGGGCTCATCCTTTTCATTGTGGAACTGGGCCACATACGGGTGCTTCAGTGCGTCGATGACCGAAATCCGTTTGGACGGATCAAACTAAACAAGTAAAAACGTTAAAACAGCGAAGGTTAAGCCATAGCATCGATTACCCACGTACCCAAAAGCATTGCTTGATAAGGTCGAGCGCTTCCGGCGAGGCCTTCGGGAAGAGCTCCTCCAATGGTTTCTTCTTTGGTGCAGGCAAACTTTCCAGCATCGTATTGGCGAACGGCGACTTAATACTCTCAATGTCTTCTTGAGATGGAGGCCCGGTGACGTCTAGGATTCGCTCGAGTTGATTCATCGTCGATGTACCAGGGAAAGCAGGCCGTCCAGTGGCCATTTCGGCAACGATACATCCGACGGCCCACATATCCACCGATTTTGCATACTTTGTCGAACCCAAAAGAATTTCTGGAGCACGGTACCATCGGGTAGCGACGTAGTCTGTGAGAACCGGGTTGGGTCCGCTGATCTCGGCCACGGAACGACAAAGGCCGAAGTCGCAGAGCTTTGTATGGCAGTCCGAGTTGAGGAGAAGATTGCTAGGCTTGATGTCACGGTGCAGCAGCTCTGCTGTATGCATGTACTTGAGCGACTTCAACAACTGGTAGATGATATACTTTTTGTGAATCTCCTCTAAGATATTGGCTCGTATAACAGCATGCAAGTCCGTTTCTGAAGGAACACAGACAAAGAGAAGCAGGGTCAGTCAGAGTCAACAGGTTGGATGCCACTTAGAGCTAACGCACCCATAAAGTCGAAGACGAGGTAAATATCCCGATCATTGTCAGCCTTAACAACGTTCAGCAAGCGGATAATGTTGCTGTGGCCATTCAGCTCTTGCAAGTACATGACTTCTCGAAATGTGCGCTGCGCGTCTGTTGCATTGCGGAAGGCGTCAAAGCACTTCTTTAATGCCACTACTTGTCGGTTGTTCTTGTCGATGGCCTTCCACACGATGCCATACGCCTGCACAGTCACCACAATCATTTGCCGTTCATTAACACATTCTTGAATGCGTGCATCTGTAAAATATACTTACGCCTTTGCCCAGCTTTTGCAGCAGCTCGTACTTGCGCAACACGTGCTTCTCAACTTCCTCGCCCATGGCTGGCACTGTGTTGCTGATCTACGAAATACTACGCGATCAGGACGACTGTAAGAAGTCTGGAGATGCCGGATGAAGTCACAAGATGAAGTCGAGCCAAACTGAAACCAAACTTGGCTAGGAAGAAGAGTGTGGTATTTTTACTTGGCACCCCGGATGCTATTATACCTGTATTTGCAAACTTCAAGGGCAATATTGCTAACAAACCGGCAGGATCAGACAGATTGCATGGGATGCTGCTAATAGTGTAGTCTGCCTAACAGTACTTTGGATACTTCGATACGACAGAAATCCAACAGGTTATGTGTCAAAAACTCCATCAGTATTCGTCAGCGAGAGTAACCCAGCAATGTGTCAACGCGAGCACCAATCCTGATCACAACAAGCTCGACATAGGAACTACAAAGCAAGAGGAGTGACGCGTATCTTAGCCAGCCAGCCTCATCAGGCGCTCGCTCGCTCACGTGTATGATATTTAGCCGTAAATGTCATCGTTGTCGTCGCCCTGACCTCCTGCGCCACCAGTAGCGCCTCCGCCAAAGCTGTCTCCGCTATCCATGAGGAAGTTGGCCGCCAACGCCTCGTTCTTGTCGCACGCCAGGTAGGCCTGAATCACATCCGTGCGCTCGAAGCCCATCTCGCACAGGCGGTCGACAGCCGCCGCTTCCTCCTCCGACAGCATGATACGGTGGCCACCGGCGCCAGCACCAGCGCCTCCGCCAAGTCCTTCAAGGCCGCCACCGCCGCCCATGGACGCCATCATCTGCTCCATCGCTCCGGGAGGCAAGTTACTAAGCATCTGAGAAAGCCCACGAAGCTGCTCGGGAGTCATTCCCATTTGTGCAGCCATCTGAGCCTGTTGCTCTGGTGTGAGCGAGTCCACCAACTGCTGAATCTGCTGCGGAGTCGGCATGGCTCCATTTCCTCCCATTCCCAGGTCGAAGGGTGCTGCGCCTGCTCCACTACTGGGCGCTGATCCAGCCTCACGGGTACCAATAGGCTCGTTCAGCATCTGCACGAAGCGGTCCTGGTTCTGGTGGATCAGACGCAATAGCTCGGGGCTCTGAGCGCCGATCTGCTGAAGCACTGCCGGCAAGGCCGCTGGGTTTGACTGCACGAGCTGACGCAGAGCGTCGAACTGCGGGTGATTACGAAGAGCTTCCAGCGAGTTGGCAGCTTCATCGCCACCTGCAGCAGCTCCAGTCGAAGGAGCAGCCGTTTGTGCGGGCGCCTGGGCCTGCTCGGGGATACCCGTCATCAGATACTCCACGGCACGCTCCGGGTTGTTGAATGCAGCACGCAGCGCGCTGCGCACCTGGTCTTCGGGGAAGCCCATGTCCACGAGCTGCTGCACCGTGGCGCTCATCTGTTCATCGGCCGCAGCGCCGCTGCCTTCTCCAGACGACGAGCTGGCCGCAGCCGTGGCTGGAGCTGCTGACGGGGTAGACACGGCCGGAGCAGTGGCCGAAGAGCTACTGGAGGCTGATGACGTACTGGGGGCAGCCGTAGCGGCAGGAGTAGAGGAAGGAGTCGGTGCCGCTGCTGCCGCGGCGGGGGTAGATGCTGGTGCTGCGGCGGGGGTAGATGCTGGTGCTGCGGCGGGGGTAGATGCTGGTGCTGCGGCGGGGGCAGCGGCGGCCGAGGGCTTGGGCGCCTTGGGCTTGGTGACCATCACAACCAGGAAGTCATTCTCCTTGACATTGTACTCGGCCAGCGTGCTGTCGTCCTTGAGCACTTTACCCGCGTGAATGAGCTTCTGCTGGGAGACGGGGAACTTCTGCAGCTCCTCGATCTTCTGCTTCACAGCGGAAACCTTCAGCGAAAAGCAAGATACTGGTCCGTCAGTACTCGATGAAGATCTTTCTCTCTCGCTGTAGGACTCGTCAGAGATGAGAATGCCATGGACAGATGCGAGACAAAGAGGAGAAGAAGGTAGAGCCCATGCTTACCGCGTCCGTGAGCTCTGCGTCTAGGGGGAAGGCGACGCCCTGTAGCGTCTTGACCGTGAGCTTCATGTTGGCCTGCCGTTCGCTTCTTTCACTATGGGGAGAAGATTCTAAAACCTTTCCAAGGCGAAATTTAAGCGACCTCCGTGGGTCGCTAAAGGCGATTAACAAATGGAACCATACCTAGGTTAACCTATGATCTCACTCTAGAATCTTCGAGCTCCAAAACTAAAATTTAGTAGTGGGCATCCAGGTTAACCTATAACACGGCCTTAACACTATAGGTTCCCATGGTTGAGACGCTCATGTCAACTTGGCAAAGTCACTGCGTCTAATCGATGCTACAGCGTCTAATCAGCCGAGCCTTCAACAGGCGTTGCGCTTGACAGGCGTCATTCGCCAACTTGCTGCGTCCCTGCCACTTTCTTCTTTTGCCACGATGCTGCGCTCGCTCCTCTCGCTGCCCCGCACTTCCTTCCTCACTCATGGCGTGCGTAGTGCTTAAATTAAAGCTGTCCTGTAACTCGCTCTGAGACTGAAGTTGTCTATTGTCGTAATTGCAACAGGTCCGTCCAACCAACGCCCGCGCACCGCTCGTGGCTTCGCTGCTGCAAAATGGAACGCGGTGCTTCAGTGCACCGCGTGAGGACAACAAAACGTCCATCCTGTTGCAGGTGGAGGACGGCCCCGGCGCGCTGCAGGAGACGCTCAAGTTTTTCTGGAAGCACGACGTCAACATGACGCGTATCGAGTCGCGTCCCGCCAAGGGCCACAACATGAACTACAGCTTCTTCATTGATTTCGAGGGAAAGAGCGGCCAACACAAGGTGAACGATCTCATGGCCGACCTCGAGAAGAACTGCCTCGACGTCATGGTGCTGAATGACAAGAAGGGTAAGCGATTGTAATCATGCTAACGGCATAGGCTTATGAACTAACCGTGATAATTGGTGTGGATAGTGCCGTGGTTCCCGCGTAAGATTAACGAGCTGGATCGCTCGGTAGCCAACATTCTGGACGCCGGAACGGACCTGGAATCGGACCACCCAGGCTTTAGCGTACGTGGCACGACCACCGGAATCGGTCTTGCTGTTTACTAACTTGGTATTGTAATGTGCAGGACCAAGAGTACCGCCGACGTCGCAACATGTTCGCAGAGATTGCCCAGAACTACCGTCAAGGAGACCCGATTCCTCGTCTGGACTACACACAGGATGAGGTGCGGTGAAGATAGTAGCCTTTATGAATGGAGCTGTGAACTTATGCTGTCTGTGACTATAACAGATTAAAACATGGGGCGTTATCTACAAGCGTATGAAGGAGATGTGGAAGCAGCACGCTTGCGATGAGTTTAACTACATTATCCCGCTCCTCGAGAGCAACTGTGGTTACGCCGAGGACAACATCCCGCAACAAGAGGATATCTCGAACTTCCTCAAGGAGTGCACGGGTTTCACTCTGCGTCCGGTCGGTGGCTTGCTTTCGTCGCGTGATTTCCTGAATGGACTTGCGTTCCGTGTCTTCTTCTCGACGCAGGTGAGAACAGACATGTTGTATACATTAGCCTCGTAATGATGATCTGACGTTGTTATTTGAATCGCAGTACATTCGCCACCACTCGATGCCGCTGTACACGCCGGAGCCTGATATTTGCCACGAACTGATGGGTCACGCCCCCATGTTTGCTGTAAGTATCTTTGTACTGGTGCTTTACGCTTGTAGGTGGTTAACGGTGTATCGTTTTATTCACAGGACCCCGACTTTGCGGACTTTTCGCACGAAGTTGGTCTTGCCTCTCTCGGAGCATCAGACGAAGAGATCGAGCGTCTTGCCACGGTACGCAACACAATTCCAATACCTCACTCTTCAGGAACACTCTAACGATGTATTATGTGTGCAGTGCTACTGGTTCTCAGTGGAGTTTGGAATCACAAAACAGCGTGGTGAATACAAGGTACGTGTTCAATCCATGAGATCAGCCTCCGATTCATGTGTGTTAGTTTGTTGTGCGTTACTCATTGTTATGTGTGCTATCTTCTAGGCCTACGGAGCTGGACTGCTTTCGAGCTTCGGCGAGATGGAGTACGCCTGTGCAGCCAACCGCCCTGCAGGCAGTGATATGCCCGAGTACCGTCCTTGGGACCCGTTCTCGGCCTGCAAGCAGAAATACCCCATCACTACCTATCAGCCTGTGTACTACGTCGCTGACAGTTTGGTAAGGATATGTCGATTCACTGTTGACTTGCTGGTTTATTAATGTTTGTTTTCCCCTCCGTTTTCTTATCAGTTCGATGCAAAGGAGAAGATGCGTGGCTTCTGCGAAGACTTGAAGAAGCCATTCCAGGCTCGTTACGACCCGTACTCTCAGACGGTGTCGATCGACCGTGCAGTGCAGCGCCAGGAAATTTAAAATCGCTCCGATTCGCTCGTACAATTCTTCAATCGATTGATTTTGTTGTAAATAACAAGTTACCAGTTTGCCTTCGTTTTAGCCACCTATTTTTGAAGTTCAGGTATATACCTGGAGGACGAGTTCAAGCATTTTTTCTTCTCAATGAATTGTTTAGGATTTCTGGCCACAAAGCACGATGTACTCACCACGAAGCCAAGGAGGCGAGTATGGTACCGACGCAAGGAAGTATGACCCTAATACAGCGCAGTGGATGCGTGAGGTGAGGAGTTTTCAGTGCTTGCTGTTGAGAAGTGGTTCCTGAATGTAGATCGATGGGTCAGGCAATGGAAAGTCGAGTTACCATTGAAGAACTGAAAGCCCAGAACGATAAGCTTCAACGCGAGATTTATGGACTGGTAAGAGCTTCGACGGTGTAGACGTTTTGCAACAGACAAAAGCTCATTATCCCTCGTACTTGTAGAACTCCAAGCTGAACTTGATGTACGAGTGTTGTGCCGACCTGGGCATCGTGGACCGCCTTGGAGACATGATGCAGCGCAAATTACACGAGTTTCAAGCGGCTCAAATGGCACGCAACGAGCCGCCCGCCACCAAAGCATCCGCTGCGCAGGTCCATCCCATTGCCAGTCCTCTTCGTGCTGCGAAGAAAAGTGACTTGGGCAAAAGCGACGAAGGGTTTATTTGCGGCTCGAGTACTTTTCAGGACGTTGCTGCTTACTCTAGTAGCTATAAAGGACAAGTAAGTCAGCTCACAGAGTATGTAGAAGGTAAATGTGTACTAACTACTCGCTGTAGATATCTCGAGGCAACTTTCACCGCGTCCGGGTGATTGAAGCCGAGGAAGCCAAGCTGCGTGATCAGTTCGACATCTTCGGCGTTCCAAAGCTGCCGCAACAGAAAGCTGATAGATGCTCATCGACAGAAAGGTATTATTACTAAGCGCTTTACATGAAATTGAGCATGCTGGAAGGGCTGACTTTTTGATAACCATAGCGACAACAAAACCGGCGGAGATACAATTGATAAGCTGCTGATATCGGAGGCAACCAACTCGCCCAGAAGAAGTGCGAGACAAGAACCTCAATACTTGTACGAGCCAGCGATTCCCGTGCCTAGCAGAGCTCAAGGAAAGCTGTAGTCATTCTACAGATTGTTTGTGCACACTATTCCAACAGCAGTGAATTACTTCAACCACTTCAACATGAACATTTCAACAGTCGAGTTTGTATTTCGTACAGTGTTCCATTCATCTTACTCAGTCAATTCCTCTTCATCTTGTGCCATCTGCAGAGCTGCATCAATAATTTCCTGGATCGAGCTATATCCTCCGAGTTCTTTCTCGTCCACATCCTGTTCACTCTGACTATAGCGAGACTGCTCCTGTTGTACCTCCTCGCTCATCATGTGACCATTATCGTCACCACTGGAACTCGAGGTCGAGCTGTCACCGTCTGAATGGCGAGTCTTGTAGAGGATATAAGCAGACAGCACAGCTCCGAAGAAAGGCGTGGCTAGCAGCTCGTCCATAGGGAGTTTATCGCCCTTATTATCAGCCAGAAGTACACGGAAACGGAGGTGTCCAGGCGCTAACGTCTCGTAAATGTTACGCCAAGTTTCGTCGCGCAGCATCTTAGGCGCGTAAATAACACGACGAGCTGTCTCGAAATCCTTCAACTTGGCAGCAAAGGACAGCGGGAACGAGCGCGGCGCGTTAATAAATATTTTGTGGTGCGCGTTCAGCGTGTATTCGTCGTTGTCCAGAAGGGCGGAAGTCGGTGAGGCGGCAGACTTGGACGCATCCTGCAACACTGGCGGGGGCAGGTCAGTGCACATATAGCGAGCCACAATGTCGTGGATACTACGTGCCAACACGGCGCGAGTTTCCTTCAATCGTGTCCATTCATCGGCATCCATGACGTAAAATTGGAGCTTCTTCCAGTGTTGAGTCAAATGCTGAACATCCGCTGCGGCGGTGTGGGCTGTAGCTGCGTCCACGATAAGCACAAGCCCTACCAACACTGCAAAGAGCCACCCAAGCGAGCTGGACGGGACTACACGGACCAACACACCAAGTGCAAGACAGCCCAATGCTGCTTTAACTGCTGCTGCACCAAGTGGGAGCGATCTGTTGTGAGATTTACGCGGTGGGAAGCGATAAATGAGGTCACATGCGCTCGCTAAGAAGAGACGACCCGGTAGTTTGAATGCAAAGCGCAGCGCAGCAGCCAGAAGCCACACAAAATGCAGTGGGTGCTTTGGCAAATCCTCGACGGCTAGCAGCACGCTGGCCGAGTTGATATCCTCGTCCCGGAGCTTCCAGTGCTTCAGTGTGGCGCAATATTTCATCATCTTGCGTTTCAGTTCGTGCATATCGGGATGGTTGGATGTACGGAAGTGGATCTGCATGATCTCTTCGTTCATGGAAGCGCGCTGTCTTCGGGAGAAGCAGTCGTCGTGTACGACCTTGGCGCAGTAGACGTGCAGCGTGCGTGTCAAGCGCAACATCTCAATCTGGGCGACGGACGGCGGTGGAGGCATGGTCAATGATGCGCGCAGGCGAGCACTGAAATGCTGTGTGAACTCGGTCGGATCCTCTCCAAAGATCGCCACTTCACGCTCCTCAAGCAACACTGGAGCGCCATAGCGGATACCTGTGTAGCGTCGCACGTCCAGGAAGGTAGCGGCTGAGCAGTAGTGAACTGCAACGGGTACTACGAGTGCGCGTCTGTAGGAAGCTGCCCGTAAAGCGGTGGCGATCTGGAATACAACGCGGTTAAGCGGCGCCTTGCCTGGATTGCTGGGCGTGGGGGCAAAATCCACAAACACTCCCATCTTGTAGTCTCTTTCAGTGGTACTGACGCCGTCCAACTGCGTCTCATCAATTAGATTGGCGCGTTTCTCCATCTCCTTGCGCACATCGGCTAAGATTCGCGTCATATCGGCGGCATTGGCGGGGTCTGGGATCTTGGCTACGAGTGGCGTAATATAGTCCTCCACGATTGCCGTCTCCACGAACGATGGTACGCGGCGACGCCAGGCGGGAGATCGGTCGATGAGGTACACGACAGGCATGAACTCGTGCTTCTCGCTCTCACGCGAGATGACCTTGAACTCCATTACGCGTGGGAACACTGCGCGAGCCAAAGAGGAGCGCAAGCTGCGACTGCGTCGCGGCGGCAGCGCACATCTGGGCGGCGATGGCCACAGGGCCTCGAGGTTCAGCGACGGATGCATTGCGTGGTTGGCTGTGTGTAGTGGTGATCAATATAGGGCGGACAATGCACGTGCGGCTGGAGTGAAGTGTTGGAGAATGAGCGAGACTCTTCTGCATTGGGCGACGCTGAAGCTGATGAGCTCTGTCGGCCGTGTGCATAGCGCATGCTGCATCTGCAGAATTTGATGTGATTGATTGTCGAGCCACATACCAATCTGACTGTGACATTTTGTATCTTGACAAAACAGGTATTATGGGAATGATCGTGTTACTAAGGCTCCGACAGAAAAAGAACATGAATTCTGTGGGCGCCTTGAAGTGCCAGTGCTTGGCCGTGACGATCACTGCATCGACGAGAAAACTGGACGATTGGTCGAAAATCAGCCCGATCCACCTGCGATTGGCCGAAAGCTGACATTCACTGTGTTTTCCACATCAAAGAACGTCGAAAAAAAAAGCG